TTTTGTCAGTCCTAGGAATATTCTCGTACATTTATTTCTAAATTTAACACCATTTAGTCCTATTACAAATACACCGGCCAGAACTTGAATAACGACTCGGCTCTTCAAAACAAAGAAATTCATTAGCCCATGTAAACAATTCATTTAGACCATAAATATTAGCTGAGTCACTATTGGTTCGACTTCGAGTTGCAGGATGTAAAAAATCGGTATTAAGTTAAAAATAACACACTGCATGTACGCAGGTAAACTGGTGTCCGGTGATACTGTCTGTACAGTAGTTGGGCAGCGAAATTTGAGGAGCTTGATATATGGTTCTCGAACTGATTGTAAAAAAAAAAAGCCTGAATTTAATGTTTCGAATGAACTTTCTATTTTCAATAGTTGACTATTTTATATAATAAGGCAAAAATCTTAAGTAGAGAAACTGATTAAAAACTTTCGAACTCATGAATAGTTTATGCGGGGTTATTAGCGGAAACACAGGCAATTAGATAGGGACCGGATGGAAACATTTTGCAAAAACCATAATTTTTTGAAGATTTTGTTCAGAGAACTCATAACAGTATGAAGTCCCAATACATATACACCGGCCAGAACGTAAATAACGACTCGGCTCTTCAAAACAAAGAGATTCATTAGCCCATGTAAACAATTCAATTGAACCTCTCTTTGGTTCAGTTTCAAAACTTTCTCTGGGCTAATTAGAGTCTATCATTTATTTATACTCCGCTTTCTTATATTTTGGTAGCAATTAATAAACTTGCCGGCCAAATGAAACGATATGAAAACAACACCCTTTTACAAGTCGTTTACAACTAATAATCATATTTATGAACATCTTCCCATTTGCTTTGTTTGATGTTTATTCAAAAAGTTCACAGGGCATCTAAGCAGGGCGTTAATGAAAAGCACGCTGTTTAAAACAACTTTAATGTCCCTCCTTTAGAGAATATGAAAACTAACCAATGAACGGACAAAGAAATTTGACAGTTGTTAAAATTCAATTCAGAATTTTCGGGCGGTGTCGCGCCGAGAGTTTCCGCAGGGCTTAGGACTTTGAATGAGTTCTCTGAACAAACTCTTTAACAAATTATGGTTTTTGCGAAATGTTTCCATCCGGCCCCTATCTAATTGCCTGTGTTTCCGTTCATAACCCCGCGTGAACTATTCATGAGTTCGAAAGTTTTTCGTCCGTTTTTCTACTTAAGATTTT